AACATACACTAATAATCTTCACTACACTAAGTGAAACAAATCTGTGTGCTAATACATGATAAATAAATATATTTTCAGACAACCTACATAATGATAAAAGCTCAAATGGATAAATAAATATCATACATCATATTGTATATACACTCAGTGGCCATTTTATCTGATACACCTGTACAACCTAATGCAGGCCAATACAACAGCTCTGCCCCAACATCTGGGGTCTCATTTATAAAACAGTGCGTCGCCAGTTTCCATCTCCAAAATGTTCCGAAGCGTGGCTCAAAGTTTCTTTCATCAAGTCTGTGGTTTTTTGGGTTTTTTTTTTATCTATCACAACTTCTGCGTAGGAAGTGGCGTATGCCTCTTTCAGGCCTTGTTTTGTGCTTACACAGTGGGCTACAGATCACAGTGTAAAAGTGAACCACCACATCACTGCTGATCGCTACAGAAGACAATGGATATAAAGGGAGACTTTGCTGATATTCAACCAGCTGTGTGGCATCACAGTGTGTGCAGATGAACCGTGTTTGTCTTTCCCCTGTGCCGTGTTGTTGTCGGACCCTTGTCGGAGCGGGCCAATGTTACGCTCGGATTGAACGGATCACTTAACACATCTAGCCTTGACAATAACTGAACATTAAAGGCATCATATGTATTGTGCTGTCTTATGTGGTGTGTGGTGCGTCTGTCATTGTTATTTTATGTCTACCTGCCTGGGGACAACAGCTGCCAAAAAACTATCAGCTAACTGTGCTGCAGTTAATTTTAATTGTGTGCTATCCCTGCAAAGATAAACAATATTATCAACAGATGAACAGATGATCAACAGAAAACTGAAAACAATTTTAAGAGCCAATTAATTAATAATTTATGAAACAAAAAATGCAGAATATTTGTTTTTACTAAAAAAAATATATATATTTTAAATTAATGAAAGTGGTCATTAGTTGCTACCCTGAAAAGCACATCATTTAGGTGTTCTGAATTACACTCACCTCAGACAAGAGATGCACAAACAGCTTTGTCATCGGGCCTAAACACACAAACATAATCTTCCGACTTTGTAGCATGCCGATTGTGTTCAGTCAAATGAAAGGCGTGCTCTGTGCTGTGCCCTGGTGCATGTGGCAGCATGACAATGATCTCACCCTTTAAAGAAACACCTTTGGGCCGAGGCCAGGATGCAAAGGTGACAGCCTCCGTCATTGGATAAACACAAAGACACCAATCTTCATATGGCTACAGTAGATTCTTTCAAAGTCAGTCATACACTGGAAGATTATTGTGTCAGAGTCAAACAGATAATATACTTTGTATGAACACAATGAAAGGGAGTGCACCTACCTGCCTTTTCAACAGTGATTTATTCATTGGTTTATGTATTTGTGAGAAGCTGATGTTGTCCTACCCACTTGTATTCCATCTTAAATGTTATGAAGATTCACTAAATCTTATGCCTATGTCTTTATTGTGTTGACAGGTAGATGGACCAAAGGAATCCTGAGGGCACGTTATGAGTCCTAGACACTGAAATAAGGGAGACAAGCACAGAGGCATCTTTCAGACTGTTATCACTTCTTCTGCTCAGTTGGGAGGACTAATCTGAAAATAAAAAAAAACCCTCCACTCCCACCTCTGAGGAATTCAGGAGCCTTGGAGCTTGAAGGAGTCATTCCAACAGCTTTCTGGAGCATTATAGGAAACCTCCCCAAAAAAAGACTTCCTCCCTGTTTCTTATCAACAATCCACTGAGAGGGTCAAACAGGGTCGCCTGGCCAAACTGGACCAAGAGCAGAGAGAAAGACTGGAGCTTGCTCTTTCTCTCTCACGCACTCGAGTCGATGTGTAACACACCCGCAGCCAAAAACAGGAAGTAAAGCGGGCGTCTAAGTGAGAACCACGTGTGAAGGCTAGTTTGAGAAGGCAATGGGTTTTCTTGGCAGGCCATAGGATATAGTTTAAGACAATACCTCTTGGACTTCTCTGAACTGCCTGAACTCAATTCCCCCCTCTACGCTGTGAATGCAGAAATCTACCAACCTGTACTGTATGTGTAAATGTGAGCATCTGTGTGCATATGAGATTATTTATTAGTGTCATCACTGAGTGAGAACATATCTTTGTGCTAAACTGTCCTTGTGTGTGAATATACATTTCTGCAAATAGCCATCAGAGACAGCACAGGAACAGGAACATCAGCATACGTGAGTGAAAACAACAAAAAAACTACCTTTAAGTAGTCAACACTGGTCGCATACGGTAAGCTGGACTGTTAAATCATCTGTACATATCAGCAGTGACAGAATAAGAGCTTCAGATTGTGGTGCTCTGGCTGAGCTCCTCTATCTGTCTTCCCCTCATAAAGACTCAGGCTGACAGAAGCGCCCACCAGGTGGGGGATCTCTGAGGGAAACATGGAGGCAACCATCCGTCCTCATGTCCCCTCGAATGGCTGACTTCAGAGAAAGAGCCTAATCTTTTTCCCCGTGCCCAGAACCAGGCAGGGGTGTCCAGTGCTGATTAGAGCCACAGCCCCTCTCTCTTCCACCTCCAAAAACGTGCGAATGTCCTGCCTCAGGCGTCAGCCCGTCACCATCCCCATGGACACCGTCAAGATCATCCAGTCGGAGAAGTTCCCCAGAGAGTGCCCTGTGCCCGTCACCCAGCCGCGCTACGCCCCACCCCCCAGAGTGGCTTGGGATGGCGGAGGTGAAGGCGAGATCATCGTCAACCAGGCCTGCAGTGACCTGACCCTGGACATCACAGGGTCCCCCCGGCCTATGGTGTCCCCCTCGGCCCCCGTGATGCGCAGGGAGCAGAGCTTCCTGGCGCAGCGCAAAACCAGTGCCAACGAAATCTGCTACCACCAGTTCCACTACAAGATGGAAGACGTCATAGTCAACCAGTACGTGCTGCGCTCCTCCTCCACCTCCTCCTCCACTTCCTCCTCCTCCTCCTCGGGACCCGTGATGCCCTGCGAGCCCCTGGACTGCCCCACCTGCGGCCACACCTACAACTTCGCCGGCAAGCGTCCGCGCATCCTCTCCTGCCTGCACTCGGTGTGTGAGGAGTGCCTGCAGATCCTCTACGAGTCCTGCCCCAAGTACAAGTTCATCTCCTGCCCCACGTGCAGGCGCGAGACAGTGCTGTTCACTGACTATGGCCTGGCTGCTCTGGCCATCAACACCAGCATCCTGAGCCGCTTGCCCTCTGACCCTAATGGGCCAGTGCAGTGGGGCGGGGACGCCGACCGCAGCTGCTACCAGACTGTGCGCCAATACTGCCAGTCAGCCTGCACCTGCCAGATCGCCAACCCCTTGTCCTCCTGTGGCATCATGTAGACAAGTGGGGACACTGCAGGCATGACTCGACGCTGCCCCCCCCCCCCCCCCCCCCCCCCCCCCCCCCCCCCCCCCCCCTTTTTGTCTATAAGCTATACCCTCTTTGCCAACTCCCTCTCTCACACACACATACAGTAAATAAATCCCTCCACAGATGTTATCTCTATATATTTAATAGCACAGATGGATGCTATGTGGGACTTATGGATGCCGGTGGTTCAATAAATAGTAAATAAATGTATTTTATGTATGGACTGGAATCCTATTCACCCTCTCTCGTTTGGTTGGACGTGTTTGTCATTGACATCTCTTTACATGGGAATGCCAGGGGAGGTCTATCCCCCCAACCTAGGTGAATAAAGATTAAATAAATGATAAAAGTAACTCTGTGTGGCCTGCACTTGTTATCTGTCAAGCAAGGGCATAGGCTTTTTTTTAACCACTAGAGGTTGGTTGGAGTGAGGGGGCAGGGGGTCTGACATATATGAAACTGGGGCCATTGAGGTCCACCAGCAAAAATTTGAGTATCAAATACCAAATTTCCTGCATTCTAGTGATGCTTTATGCACCAATTTGTGCCTTATCTGTATCAGTTTACCATGTAAATGTCTTGAATTTTGTCAAAATAAAAGTCCTCTGCTACTTTCATGTTTTTATTGAGGGGGATAAATGCATATGATTTAAATATTGACAGGACGTGTCCCCTGCGTCCCCCCTAAAATCTACACCTTCAGGATTCAGTTGCAGAATTATGGCTTTCTCTTATTTAGACTAGTGCACTATAAAGCTGCCTTGTTTTCTGCCTTGATTATAGAATTTAAGGGAATAGTTAATGGATTAATTAGACTTTTGATGGGTTTTCTATCCCTTCATTTACACCCTATTTTTGCAGTTAAGATGAAAATTCAGAACTGGCTTTGATGCTTAGAAAAAAATCCCTTTTCTCGGTTTTTGATTCTTTGAAGATATTTTTACCCCCCACAAACCCCTTAATTTATGTAGAAAACCCACTAAAATTATTTAAGATAACCCATTAATTTATCTGTTAATTTACTGCAAACTAAAACAGTTACTTAAGTGATTAGTCAACTGAACATCTTATCATCAGGAATTTTGAGACGTACTTCACCTTAGGCTGTGGAAAGCTATTGGACATTTTAAAGACCAGTTGTGTCAAACTCATTTTAGTTCATCGACCACTTACAGCCCAACTTGATCTCAAGTGGACCGGGCCAATAAAACCATTACATAGTAACCTCTAAAATAACAACAGCTCAATTTTTTCCCTTTCTTTTTGTGTCAAGAAGTACAAGAACATTCTGTAAACTTTCATCCATTCATAAAACAGATGAACAACCTGAGATGTTTTAAGAAAAATAATGACCCGATTGGACCAAAACTGGCTCACCAGAGGGTCCAATCCGTGTTGTTTGACATTTTGATTGATAATATTAATTGTTGCTGCCCCAATTAAGACTTACTTGCCTCATTTGGGGTACAGATATATTTTTATTTTTAGCAGGAAAGGCGACACTTGCAGAAAGTGTGCGGTGCAGCCATATCAGATTTTTATTTCATACTGTATGTAGACATACAGCATTGGGGTATTTGGTGGATATGAAGCATCTTTGTTGCAGAAAAACACGAAGACAAAGTGAATAAGAATGTCAGAAGGTTATATTTACATTATATTACATGTATAGTGTGATATACTGAACAGCGCATACCCGTATTCTTCACCAATTTGCAGCATTTTACAGATACAAATATGATGCTTGTAAAATGAAATCAAGCTTTGTAGTGCTATGACATGACATGACATGACAGAGAAATCCCATTCTCCATCACATTGCTATATAGAACATCATATCGTCAGTATAAAAAATATAGGCAAGTATACAGCAGATAGAATAAATACACATGGCAGATTGCTTCATCCTGTGAGCTGAATAGGGAGTCAGTTTGAAAGCAGCAGCGACAGTGCTCAGACCTTTAAAGGAGAGCTTCCTCCTCTTCAGAACTGAAACCAAAAATGTCCCAAGCATCTCAACAGACACGCTGTGGTCCGTTCACACAGGCTGAGTTTTCCTCCTCCACTTGAACAGCTGGCTCAGCCGCCGTCGGGCCGAGTTTCTCTCAAATGACTGCATCTGTTGGCTGTACAGATAAAAAATTTATCAAACACAGCTGAAGCGAGCCACTGTAGAAAGCTGGAAGCAGCATGTAAGTCGAGTTTCATGAAAAAAAGGAGACAAAATGTTCGAGAGGAACAGGCTGAGAATGAACTCCCACCAAAAGCCTCTTCATCTACTGTGCATTAGCTCTGGACCACTGCGTCAGTGTGTGGCCGGCTGCCATGTTGGAGCAGCACACACAATTCCTCAGAGCATCACGCATCATATGAGATTAATAACACTGCCCCCTTAGAGGTTACAGCTAGAAATGCAATGTCTCACCCCTTCTCATCTTTCAATCCAGAGTCCTGTTTCGACCAAGACCCAAATTTTAACCTCCAGTTCTTGTTTTTTTTATGCGTCGCCTCTTTTCCAGACTCCTGAGAAGACAAAATTAAATATTTGTGAACCAAAATAGTTGAATATTATGAGGTTGAAAAATAACAGTTACAGTTTATTTATTCTTTATCTGTGTTTATTACTTTAGTACAAATTCATTGTTGTATTTGAGTGTATTCTACCTGCTTTTCATATTCTTCCTCTACCTCCTCCATCAGGTCAGTTGTACTCATATGCTGCCCTCTGCAGTCTGCATCCAAATTTCCTGCACCAAGCACACACACATAATCACATAGCTGCAGTGCACACAATTTTTTTTATGACTTGCAAAAAACTTCCGTATAAGAATATCTTAAATATGCAAAACCACAAAAGGATTCTGTGACTCACTTAAATGCATTTTTGAAAGATTTGTGTCTGAAGCTGATCTCTGCCGAAAATGTCCGTAATGAAATTCTTTCTGCTGTTGGGGTACACTGGAAGTCTGCTCCTCACTTTCTGTATTTCCAAGACTCTGACAGGAAGTTAGATCCTCCTCAGCAGCATCAGAGTCACCCTGACAAGTGTCGGGAGCCTGAAAGAGAGTCAAGTGATGGGGAAAACACTGTCAGCGCGGTTTGAACCCTCAGGCAGCAGGAAGACATCTTGTCATCACCAGTTTGACAAGCGTATGTCATGTTTATGAACCCAGTGTAGTGTGGAAAATGTGACAACATCTTAATTGCCTTTCAAAGACGTGACACATGAATGTCTTCACCTGGCTCACCTCCATGTCTTCATGCTCCTGCAGGGTATCCATCTCCATCTGTAACGCTCGGCTGTGCATCTGTTCTCTGGCAATTTTCTCTAACATTTGGCACACGTCCTCCAGGTAGCGAAGCCCGGGACTCATTCCTGTCCTCGCCTCCTCACCAAGGTCCTGCACACATCATTGGGCACGAAGAGCTTGATACAATGACAATGCAGTGAACAATGCAGTGTGTTTAGTTTAGTTTAGTGTCTTCACTGCTGCTTTTCAAACACTCTGAAAGCATTTGAGAAGCAAAATTAAGCACATCAACAAGTTAACATTGTGAGCATGTTAGCATGCTGAAGTTAGCATTTAGCTCAAAGCAAACCAATGCCTCTGAGTACAGACTCACAGACAGCGGTGCCCCCAGAATGGGCCGCTAAAAATCTTGGGGTGACACACCAAAAGTCATACGTGAATTTCAGGAATTCTGTTACGCTATTGGAGATTGTGGACTCATTGAAAACAATGTCAAAATGGAGAGTTAAGGAATCACTTCCTGATATACTTTGTTTTCTCATTTTACAGTTAATATGATTAATTATCTGATGTGTATAAACTGAAATCAGTGCATTTTGAGTTCCACAACAATCCTGTTTTAATGTGTTATGTATCTATACACGTTGACTCATTGTTCCACAAGGCTCCTTCTCCTTAAAAATAACAATAATAACTTTAATTGTAGAGCACTTTCTGAGCTGCTTTCTAAGGTAAAGAAAATACAAAACAAAAGTGCCACTAATAAAACATAAGCATATACATACACCTACACCAACATATACACTTTAACACATATACCTGTAAGCATGCATACATACACACATAGCTGCATACATACACACACTCCCATACACACAATAAGTCTATCATCTTTCAGGAGAGGCCATTCTCTAAAAGTAAGTCTTCAGATGAGATTTAAAGACGTGAACAGAGTCAGCTGATCTGATGCTCAGTGTGAGGCTGTTCCAAAGCCGAGGAGCAAGAACTGAAAAGGCTCGATCACCCTTTGTCTTTAACCTGGACTCTGGAACAGTTAGAAGACCCAGACTAGCAGACCTGAGGGGCCTGTTTGGGCGGTACGGTGTGGGAAGCTCAGTTATATACTCTGGTGACAGATCATTGAGAGCCTTGTATGTGATTAAAAGAACTTTGAAAATGGATTCTGAAAGAGACTGTAAGCCAATGCAGGGAGGCCAAAATAGATGTGATGTGAGGATCTTTTTGTTTTGGTTAAAAGTCTAGCTGCTGAAGATTTGGAGCTGAAGTATAGTGCAAAAACAACATCTATAAAGCTTTAATTTGAAGGACCAACAAAACATTTACTGGGAACAAGCCTTCTCAAGTTTATGGGGAGACCTATAACCCCCTTTTTATTCAGATATCTTAAGGATGAGAGTTCAAGTTTGAAATTGGCTGTGCCTGTGCTATGTTAATAGCTTGTACCATTGAATGCCTTAGCTTGTCTAGTTTCACAAGATACCATTAACTTTACATTAGTTTAAAAAAAAAGATGAGGCCACAGCCTCTTAAAGACAGTAATATGGGCCTCTGGTTATTTTTGCCAGTGGAGGGCAGTGGGGGGCCCTTAACTGTATCAGAGAGGGCTCCCTGTAGAGCACCACTGCTAACAGAGTGAGGCTGTAGATTCGCAGTGATTTTGATGAATTTGGTATGCAACACAAGATTTTTTTTAATTGTCAGTTGATCAGTTCAATATTTTTTCAATGAATCATCTGCTAAATGTCAAAAAATAGTGGAAAAATACTCATCACGGTCCTTGTTTTTAAATTAAATATTTTGTCAAAGAAATTCAGTTTATAATTATAACCATTTTCTATAATTCACATTGATCAACGAACTTCATTCAGCACGAACTGGAGAAGAATAGAAATGAACAGAACAGAGTTAAAGATGAGTAATATGTCAATATAATATCAAAATTATAATGACAATAAACATTTTATGAGAGTTTGGTACTAATAATATCAGAATATGAACTAAAGCAATGTTACAAAGTTGGTCTTTCCCATGAACCCTGAGATGGACTTCGAGTCAGAATACACAGATTTAGCTGCCTGACTGACTCTTTCATTTGCCATTCATGCATCTGCATATATATGCCATGAACTTTTTACTGGGATAATAAAAGTATAATTACATTAATTACAAAAGTATATAATGACATAATTATGTTTACTTGGCATCGTACATCCTTTCAGTGTTGCATTTGTCAAAGCTTTTTAAATCTGGCCCTCATACAAGGAAACAAACAGAGTGCACACACACCCACAGCCTAAAAAAACACCGTGGACATAATTAGACACAAACAGCACAATTAATCCTGTTGATTCTACACCTCTGTGTCATGCCAGCATGACCTGATTTTCACACTAACTTCATGGCAGATGTGAAGAGGAAAATTCAAACTATTTTGTTTCTATCATTTGTTTAACAATATGTCTGTCACATGCAGCAAAATCCCCACAGACTGCCCAGCTTCCCCTGCACGCTTGCATCCATTCCTCTCGTGACTGTGGGCGTAAAGTCACCTGGGCAGACTGGTTTACGATCCCTCACACCGCAGACGAGCGCATGAAAGAGATCCTGTATGAGTAATGACATGCCTGTCCTACTTTGAATTTGAGAGCGACTTGGTGAAACGTGTGTTGCAACCCTCGCACTAAGGTTAAAGTAGAGGCCTCGTTACACTCCTGGGGCTTTCTTTCAGGCTTTCCTCTTACACTCAGGAGCCTGGGCTGTGCAAGACCGTACATGTTACAGTGAAACTTATGTCATCCTGAAACTAGACCAGGAAAAACAGAAACCGATATCAAACAAAGTGTAAAGTGTTTTTATCTCTTCTGTTTTTAAAGGATTTTTAGAAATTTGAAGACAGCTTGGTTTGTGTCATAATCAGTATCTCACCTCTGATCTCATCTGGGCCAGCTGCATGCCAGAACCCACTGACATAGGCCGTCTGCACGTATCTGACATCTGTCTCAAGAGCACTGATGGATGGTCTGTCCGCCTGAGGATAAAACTCTCTGACCTTTGACCCCTCACTAACTCTGATGTGTGCCTTTTGGGCAAAAAAGGTGCTCGAGGACGTCTCCTGAGCACCTCCTCCACTGTAAGGGGCTCTGGGTTTTTCTTTTGACGTAGAGAGTCTGTCTTCTGCAGCGCTTGCTCCACTTTTAAGTGCAAGGCCGTTGAGTCCTCCTGAAGTCTGCTGGGAAGCAACTGTGGTGAGGAAGACGGAGGAGGGGAAGGCACAGGAGAGGAGAGGACAGGAGACTGTGATGTTGAAGCTGGAGTGAGTCCTTCTCGTTCTGGTGTGAAAGCCTCCATTTCTGCGTTGTCTGTTGAGATGGAGCATGGTGTAGGAGGGAAGGACATTACAGAGCTGGCTGTCTCCACTCCAGAGTCCACCGATTCTGAGCGCAGGTTTGTCCCCACATCGGAGGAAGGTGTAGGAAGGTCTTCATCATTATTTCTGACCCATTCTGGTTCCAAACACAGGTCTCCATCAGACACCCAAGCCTCCATTAGATTCCCAAAGCTCTTGTATAGATTCATGTCCCCTCTGTCCTCATGAAATGCAGCAGGAGAATGAGCAAGACACCGGCTCAGTCGTCGGCTGAGGTGAAGTGGTGAAGTAGAATTCAAAACATCCCCTCTGATCCGCCTCTGCTCCTTCACCACGCCTCTCCCCATCATCTGTCCTGTCAGAGCGCGGAGCTGCGTGTTCATACCTGCTCCTTCCTGTCACTAAATCCTGGGAAAAAGGGTGACTCATCTGTTATTTGAAATGTTTAATTTGTCCCCACACCTGTAAGAAATCCAAGACATAACAAGAACAAGCCATGACATGGACTCATAGATTTCACCTGCGTATTTACAGGCAGTACTTATGAATAAAACAACATATAAACTTCAGTTATATAGTGCTTTTCAGATTGAGTAAAACAAAGGAACACTCATACAAAATGTTTCCCACAAGCTGAGATGGAAACAAAACTCCCCTCTACATGCCTTAACATACCTGACCCAGTCATTCATGAGTGTGAGCACATATGAGATGCGTAATACAATATGTTAAAATTCCTCAGTGGATATACAGCGTTATGGTATGTGTGTGAAACAGTAAACGCTGTTTCGTCATTTCAACAAACCAAGATTTATCTGAGAGCGGAGGAATGTGTAGAGTGGACACTCCTGTCTGCAGATATGATCTACATTCCCCAGGTGAACACAGCGGCAGCATCTGATCAGACACACTGGATCATTCACAATCCTGGAAACAAAACACAAGAGTTATTTTGAGCCGGTGCCCACAGTCATGTCTATTGTTGTCCTGATGAAAGTTAACTGTGACTGAACTGCCCCTCCAACAGTTACTTATGTGCTCATTTTTCTGTACTTTTCCATAGAAAGGCCGACGTCCATGCTCACATGTACACAGATCTATACCAGATTACATTATTCGTCTGCCAGTTTGATACATAAGATGACTATTCTACCTGGGATACATCCAATGTGTCCATGTCCACAACAGTGCTTACACACTATGTCTTATCCCCTGATATTTTTCATTTGTTTGTATATAAGTAAAACAGAAAAAGCCTCATCCCACTCAATAACCAACTTAATAACTATCCCGCAGGATTGCCATAGTGTTTACCTGCACCTTTGTCAGATAAGATAAGTGTGGGATAGGTCCAGATTTCAGGTCACAGACGTCATCCTTGGTATAAGTTCTACAGTAGAATTGATAATTGAATAACACATGGTCAATGTTTTATGGACTTTAAAGGTAGGATTAAGTGGCATCTATGGTGAGACTGCAGAACTAAAATTTCTCCTGGGTGCTAAGTGTATACGATTTGAAAACACGAATGGCACTATTTAGAGCAGTGTTTCCCAAGTGGTCCAGCCACAGGGTCCAGATTCCTCCTTAGTCATTAGTTCAAGGTCCACACAGTTTAAGACATTCAGCATCATGCTTGTGTTTGGCCATGTCATCAAGCTAGTTTGCTGTCTCTGTCAAGTCGCAGTCTGTTTGTCACTCACTCTACAGCAGGAAACAGCACTTTATAATAAAAGGTCTGTGCTGGAAATTCACTGTACTTAAAAATAAAGTGTGTTTTTTACAAACACGTTTGCAAGTCACTTGCAGTCCACTCGGAACGAACCTGTGACCCACTTTTGGACCAGGACCCCCCAGTTGGGAGCCACTGATCTAGAGCCAGTGTTTGGTTTGTCTGTTCTGCAACATGGCAGACTTCATGGAAGAGCCCCTGCTCCGTGTGTTTATATAAACACCTCACTCTGAGGTACTGAAAACATTCTTATTTTCAGGTGATTATAAACTAATGGAAATATAATTATGAAAATGATATACCATTTCTGCCAATAGATGCCCCTCAATCCTACATGCTGTACCTTTAATATGTTTAAAATCTGACTTCCTTTTAGCAAACAAATTGATAAATTCAATTCCATTCAGTTTCACTGATAAAGCCCAAAATTTCAAATCACAATTTGCCTCAGAGGGCTTTACAGCATACAGTAAAATACACTCACAGCAGATAAGGAAAAACTCCCCCCAAAAAAGTCTTCAACAGGGAAGAAAACTGTAGTAACCTCAGGAAGAACAGCAGAGGAGGGATCCGTCTTCCAGGACAGATAGATGTACAATACATGTTGTGTGTGCAGAACAGATCAACATGATCTGAAGAGAGATAAATGCAGAGGTGATTCATTTCCCACAGATTTATTGTTATCATTTTGTTTCTGGCAGGATGTAGAAGGTTTTGAAACAGTGTGCTTTCAGTACTTCCCTACAGGGACACACTCAGTGATATATCTATTTATTTATTTAAGTATGTTTCTTCATATATATTGTGTCAGTGTTTTTACTCGACCTCAGCTTTTTTCAGCATCCTTCATTTTTAATTCCCTCATGTTTATTGGTGACTGTAAACATTCCTCCTCCCCCTCCTCCTCCTCCTCCTCATACTGTTAGAGAAAACAGATGAAGTCGCTAGGGGGCGTCGTTGAGCATTTCTCAAGAATGTCTATAAAAGTCACTTAATACAGGAAGAATCTCACCCCTCTTTATAACACAATACATCAGAAAAATACAAGAGTAGACTATATAATTTTTTTTTTTTTAGTTTGTCACATAGTACTAAAAGCTGAGAACAGACTGACAACAGAACAGTGACTGATATATTTTTATAAGTACTGTAAGTGTGATTCTGTGTTCTCTAACAAAAATACCCTACTATTGTTTATATAATAGTAGCCTGTAACAGAAAACAATAGTGCCTCTGTCCTTCCAGAAAAAGTTTGAGTGCACACATCAGTTTAATGACACTGAGCTCCATCAGTGTGTTTGTGTGTGATTCCCTGTAGCAACCAGCAAACACCGCGCTCTGCACAGCGACCTGCTGCTACACTGGGTCAACATGGAGAAATACGCCCCGAAGTTCAGCAAAGTTCTGCTCACACCTGATCCACATTATATACCGGGGTGAGTATATGTCTCGATACGAAATATCCTTTTAATACAGAAGATAAAATAATAGCAGGAGTGCGCAGGGTGTAATGGCTGCATGGGCTTCTTAATACTGTTAAATTATTAGTTCAGTTCGTAGGAGGAACACATGTCAAATATAATGTAATGTAATGCAATGTGAAATTATAATAAAGTTATTTTATTTATTTATGTCTTAGTTTTGTCAGAGTAGTGTTAAAGGGACAGTTCACTCCAAAATCAAAAATACATATTATTCCTCTTACCTGTAGTGCTATTTAGTAACCTTAATTGTTTGGTGTGAGAGTGTTGGAGATATCCGCCATTGAGATGTCTGCTTTCTCTCTAACATAATGAAATGAAGTGCCAAAAAAAAAAAAATAAAATAAAATAAAATAATGGAAACAATTTTTTTTAAAGAATTTAAAAAAAAAAAAAGTGAAAAAAAAATCAAAAAAGGAAAACAATGAAATAAAATTTGAAAAAAATTGTAATTAAAAAACCACAACAACAGAAAAACAAAACAGAACTCATGCCCCATTTACTCAAGATAATCCACAGACTTTGTTATAAGCAGTTTCATGTAGGAACTATTTTCTCTCTACCAAACTACTCCAAGTCTATGCAGAAAGAAGCATGTTAATCATGGACAAGAGGCTGATGCTTGTAAACATTAATGGCGTCCTCCTCAGCTGAGCTGTAACGTTAGCTAGCTCAGTGGTGCTAGGTGAGCTAGCAGTAGATGCACGCTTCCTTCTGCACAGTGATACTGTTCGCAGGTTTGGTAGAAAGAAAATAGTTCCTACATGAAACTGCTCACAACAAGGTCTGTGGATTATCTTGAGTAACCAGGTTATGATTTCTGGAAAGAGACATTGCTGTTGAGTTTTTCAGGTGTCATTTTTTGGCACATTAAACACCACAAGCTGAGTGCCATCTAGTTCTATTATTTTGGAGAGAAGGCAGACATCTATATGGCTGATACTTTCAACACTTAGCAACTCACACCAAAACAATCTAGACTGATAAATAGTACTACTGGTAAGAGGAAAATCACTGGGTTGTTGGTAGCATAGTGGATAGTGCTGGCGCCCCATGTACAGAGGTGATGCCTTGACGCAGTGGTCACAGGTTTGAGTCCTGCTTGCAACCATTTACTGCATGTCACCCCCCGCTCTCTCTTTCACTCCATTTCACTCTGTCCTATACATTAAAGGCAAAAAAAGCCAGAAAAAGAATCTTTAAAAAAAAAAAGAAAAGAGGAAAATCATGTGCCTTTGATTTTTGGGTAAACAGTCTCTTTAAATCTAAGCCATATAACATGCAGTCGTATTTGCTGGTGTTAATGTATGTATGGAATAAAGTGTTCCTGTTAGTTTTGTTTACCCCAGACTCTATTGTGTTCAGGTATGCAGGGTATTGTCCGCAGCTGAAGTTCAACGTGGGGAAGTCTTACGGCCAGCTCACAGCCGAGCTGCTGACCAGTCCTCAGGTGCAACACTCCAGTCATCTGGTCCTCCACACGGGTCACGTCCCCTCCACAGAGTCAGATGCTGGTCTGACACTGAGAAGCTTCTCTGACAGTAACTTGAAGAAGATGATACCAGGATACACAGGTAGGTATCACACACACACACTAACACACAGGGGTCAACAAAGTAACTAAACACCTTGGTGAAAATATTTCATACTGGGGACAAATTTGGGAACATTTATAAAGACAAGTTGTTTATGACCTAGTTATGATGACTAAATGATAACAGCAGCGTCAGTTATCATTGAAATCTGCCTTTAAATGTGAGTTTTCACAGCACAATAACATGAGACCTTGAGAACATGAAAATAATCTGTGTCCATCTGCTAAATTATTAAACATAAATGACCAGTTAAGTGGAACAGTGTTGAAAATCAAGATAACATACACCAAACGGCCATATTCATAGCATTGTCTGCAGTGGCAATTTTAAAGATAAAGGAATTTTTAAAGTCTTTATGTTGATTTTTGAAAAGTATTTGGCTGAAAAATAAATCCCTCACATGCAGCTTGTACACATCTATGTGCAGAGCATTTTAAAGGGTCAGTTCACCCAAATTACAAAAGAAAAATTAAATTTTCTCTCAGAATATCACACCATTTGGACTTCTTTTGGTTTTATTTGTTCTGTGGATCAACAATTGGTGGTGTTGGTGATATCTTTTTGAAAATAGAGCAGACAAACACAATCTATTTACCTCCATTTTTTGGGATGGAGGCAGAAATCTCAAAAACTGAGCACATAAAATCAAGACTATCGTCATGACTAAACACTGCTAAAAATGTGGCTGACCTGATGCTTTTACGTCACTTGTTGCTGTTTCAGGCTTCATTCCAAAAAGTCAGAACCACTTTGCCTGCAGCTACTCTGAAACATGTCGTAAAGCGCTGACTGAGTTTTACCAGGACAGGTGTGCGAAGATGCAACGGCAATCAACAGACCTGCCAGCTGTTGTCAACTACACCAACCAACAGTTTGAAGTAACTCTCTCTCTGTTACACACACACATGCCCCGGCTGTACCACTCTCTCTGTCTCTTTCTCTTTCTATTGCCCACACACACTCACACATGTTGACATGGCACCTTTGAACAGGTTCACTCTTGTTTAATTATCCATGGTGGAACTCCAGTGTCAGCTCACTGTAATGTAATCCACCCTGACAAAGACTGAGAGGCAGCACTGGTCAGCTCTCACAGAAGGACCGACCACAGATTCACCTATTGTGTCCCTGAGATTCACCATAAATAACCTATTCACTTACTTACTGGTATAATTTTTACTGGAAGCTGTGTTACATATTGTAATGTAGAATATGTGTTACCTTTATAAACTCCCCAAACATGTTTGTCGTGATAATTGTATGAACTCTGAGTCATGCATGTTTGAATGGTTTCCTGTTATCATCTGACCCAGAGACCAAGACCCCCCTTGACACCAATCTCCAACAAAGTGTTCTCCTACAGGCCCTTGAAGTCCTTCACCCCCACTGCAAGACCATATTTCATGGATGATGACAACCCACACAAGTACTTCATCTCAGGTACAACAGAGAGGACTTTAACAGGTGTTGTTAAAAATGCATCAAGCTTAAAACCTTAAAAGCAGACCTTTTGGGGGCAGGGTAAGACTTATGAACACAACATATCAACTTTGAAGTTCATATGGCAAACTTATCACATCAAGCAACTGGCTATTTCATCAAGCAGATATGTGAAAGAGTAAAGGAGGGAAATATCTGGCTCTTCATCTGCTAACTTTGTCTGCCGTGTGTGCTGAGCAGGTAGAGCTGCGGTGCCAAATCCAGCTGGCTCTGCGGCCAAAAACCACAATATGAGAGCAGTAAAACTGAACCAGTATAGAATGCTGTGGGCTGAAAAGTGAAACCATGAACCGAAAGACGCTAAAATGCTCTGTAGAGCTGCGAGAAGTGCCACTAAAAAGATATCTCTCTGTGGGCTCATCACCACAAATGGCTGCTTTCACATTTGCACCTTTGTTAATATAAACTGATTGATTATTTAGCCACTTTAAAGCTGCATTAATGAATTTTTGGCCCACAGGGGTCAGAAAAGCTCCATAATAAGATGACAGATACACAGTACTGAAATATGATCGACCAATAATGGCTAACATTTCAGTAAACAATTAACATGTCCATTGTACAGAGAGCAATAGTAGCCTATCTTAGCATTTGATTAATGTTTCTGTCCACCTGGCAAATACAGCAAGTAAGATTATGTCAAATTTATCTGGGTCTTTGTCTGCTAGATGTCTGACTTTACTCTCCAGGTGTTGTATACTGTCTGCTTTTTGGTGCTGAGCAGCAGTGTTGTGTACGTTCACACATCACAAGAGCTAGCTCAAAGTTCAGTTCACATGGATTAAAATAAATAAGTTCATGTTTATAGTTCACAATATCAATTTTGAATTAAGTTTACAGTCCCATAAACCATTTGTTTTCAATTAAAAAAAATCTTGTGATCATAATTTACTTGAAGATAATTCCCAATACTGGTCAGATGCTTCAACTCAGTAAGTCATTTCAAATTAATTGCTCAATTCTGACATTCAGACTTAATTTTCCAGACCTGGTCAGCACAATTTTGTGAGATTTTTCCATTGTAATCTGTTCTGATTTGTTCATAAAACTCCCTAAAATAACCCTATGAACTGGCTTCAGTTGTGTTGTCTGAATTGCGTATTGCACTGGCTATGCAGGTGTTGTGCTGAAGTCTGTTCCCCCGTAAAATAGTGTTTCCCTCATGTTAAAATGCATAGCGCCCCCCTCTGTGTTCGGGTAAAAGGAAAAGGTTTGGTTCAGCTTTGGGCAGCGGGAAACACATTGCTGGGCAAGCAATCTTCAAATCATGACAGGCATGCAGGGTGCCGTAAATCTTTGGGTTCTGTAAAACACAGTGTGCGCGCATGGTTAACTGTTTTGAACGGGTACATTCAGTTCACTGTTCACCAAAAACCTGAACACGTGCTGCTGAACACAGTGTATTTTTAGAGCACATTTGCTGAAAACGGCTGCTTGCTGCAGCTGGAAAAGCAACCAGGTGGACTGCCAGAACATGTATACAATACTGATACCAGCTTTTATACCTTTTTTCTTTTGCACACCATGCCAAAGGATTTACACAATACTCCAGCAGCTCACTGAGTGATGTCTTTGTACAGGTTTTACAGGGCATGTGCCAAAATCTCGATTCCTAATTGGCAAAGGTTTCCCCATCACTACAAACCAAGCATTGATCCAATTTGGGAAGCAGCGGCGGACTGACCCCATGTCCCGAGGAAACCCAGTGAGGGAGGACAGTACAGTATCTGCCATGCCCACAATCTATCCATCAAATAGGGGCATGGTGCCGTCATTCACAGGTCACATCCCAGGTCAGTGTTAGCAACACATTTGCTTTATGTTTAGCTATTTTACAAAAGTTAACTCTACATTGTCCCACAGGATACCAGTTCATGTATGGACGTACCTATGGTCAACTTTCCCAAAATGCACTGGAAAAAAGTGGCATCAAGAGGATCCTTCAGTCATAAAACCATCAAAAGAAATGATCATTACTGGCAAGATGAGGTTGTAAGATAAGTCATATCTGAGTAGGAAGTCCTCACATTGACATGAAACACATGAATAAACATTTGTGTTGTTCACTGTTGGCATAAGAAGAAGTCTTTATTGACAGACTTTGATTGTCACTGGGCATCAGAGGAAGCATTCAGAGGTTATGGTTAAAATGATGCTGGGTGAAATAATTACACAGACCTCACATTATTGCAGTACAATAAAAATTCTGTATCAACACATCTCCTTTTGTTCCTCCCTCCAATCTAACCACCAGTCTATCGAAATGTAGGTCTACCTGACACACACTGAAATACCTGAAACAGCCACAAGATGGCTTATATTTGTGCAACTTAACAAATCTCACTGGAAGACATATCACTGCATATACCAAACAACTCTACACATTTCAAAGTTCATCGCCAGAAAAATTCCAAAACCCGACTCTACAGCTATAAAAACATTAAGTTAAGAGATCTAGTACTGAAGCACCTACTGTATGTTTGTTACCTCATGCACCTACAGAAAACCATGCTGGGGATTTGCTCAAGAAAGCCGATTACTGGAAACAAAACATCACCGAGAATCCACAAGGCTGGTGTAGTGTCATATTTGGCACTAGTAAGAGTGGACTGCTTCTATTTTTCCACCTACAGATGAAGGTACAGCTATGGAGAGAATGACAGTGAAATATGAGAAATGAACAAGTTTTGCACCACGAGAATGTCCAACAGTCTAAAGCAGGTCAATATTCACATTTTATGATTGATATTCGCCTACAGGAAATATAGAGGAACGTTATTCCAGAGTGCAATTGCAAATGGAGGAAGTGGCCCTCATTCATCAAGAGCTCAGGATTTACTGTGGAGCTGACTCAGCCTCTTCTGATCGCATTCAAGCTTTATCTCACGACTAATATGACCACACATTACAAAAGTACACTGATGAAACAACAACCAAGGGACATTTTAAGATCAGGAGGCAGTCACACCAGGAGCCTGTTGCACCAGCTGTTCGAAAGTTCAGACTACACCCATTTATAACATAGTTTAAGTGTTTATTTAATGTGGTTTAAGTGTTAATTTATGTCTCACTAAATTAAAATATGTTGCACCTCAAAATCTAGTTCTTACATACAGAGTTACTGCAATATTTATGGCGCGTTCCAGGCAACCTGTAACTCGTGTTTTTACAACCTTCTACCCGTGAAAGTGCACTGGAATGGCAATCAAACCCGTAACTTACCACCCGTGAACTCGTACCGGAGCGATGTACTCCCAGTTACGCTTTCTGACGTCACACAGCCCTCTAAACCAATTACCTTACTCCTCCAAACAACAGGCACCCCCATGGATGCGGTGTTGATGCAGGTGATACATGTTGAGAAATAGACATAAAATAACCCTAATGTTAACGCATTATTGGCAGCTGGTTTCCAGTGCAAGAATAAATCAATACAAAATACGTTTCCAAACACACAGATAACATAAAATAAAAAGTATAATAGCATCTGTGACCTTATGCACTGTTTCTCTTCCTCTGTTTTGCTCAAATGAGGAAGGAACTGGTACCTTTGGTAACAGAAGTGATCATAAACAAACATAAACCCCACATGGTCCGCCATGTTGCTTTGAGACTTTGGCGTGACTTGCCTGGAATGCTATGAATTTGTGAATCATGACTTGAAGCGGTGACTTACGGGCTCAGAAACTTGCCTGGAACGCAGCATTAGACCCAGTAACTTCTAGGTGTTATTGTAGCGTTAGCTAACGCAACCAACTGAGAAAGTTAACGTTAGCTTGCGAGCATATGATCTGTTTAGGTTAAAATGTCAAAGATAATATGAAATATGGTTGAAATATCTGAAAGCTGTTTAATAATGAGGTCATCTGGGAAGATTTTAAATGACATTTAAACAGAATACCTTAACATAACAAAAAGTTATGCCATAGAAATAGAATATGTAAAAATAGATTAGCATTAGCATTATATTTTCCCCTCATTATAAACTATCTAAATATTATATTTAACACAAACTCTATACACTTATTTCTCCATGTACAGATATATAAAATAGAATTGGGCCCTCCTAACATCTACAGTGAATGGCAGTTAGATATAATATTAGATTGGATGTTAAAATTGTTATTTTTGGCAGTTATGCTAGTTTGTGATGCTACAGCAACTTTCTGTTTACAGAGTTGATTGGACAGCCGTTGTCCTTGTACACACTTAAGTTTTACAAATTAGTTTAAATGATGCAACCTTATTTATTTAGAAACTAGCTGATCCTAAGAACCTCAAAAGGAATCACAAAACTAATGGCTGATTTACGGAGGGGCACCTGACACTTTTAATGAGTGTCGCTTGACAGAAATGACCTATTTTTGATGGAAAAGTTTCCACTAATGTCGTGTACCTGGAGGATTTTGTTATGTCACACATACTCATATTTTGTCCTGCAGTTTTATTAGGTAGTCACATTGCGTCACATTTATTCACCCTGTAGCTCCCTTGTTTGGTTCAATGGATGCACTGACCACCTCCTTTTCTTGCACTCTTGTTTTCTCCTCAGTAGAAGTGAGTTTGAAATCTCTGCCTTGGGCACCCAGTGGCTTAGTGGGTAGAGCAGGCATCCCATATCTGAAGGCAATGTCTTTGCTGCAGCAGCCACTGGTTTGTTGCATGTCATCCTCTCTCTCTCCCTCTTTCATGCTTAAACTGTCCTATCCAATAAAGGCAAGAAGCCAAAAATAATGTTTAAAAAATAAATCTCTTCCATTTCAATTAACTAAAAAATACAAAAAGAAACAAAGCAGGACAAATATAGATACAAAACAAACAGCTGTCAGAAGAATCTATTTCCAGATTGGGATGACACAAGCCGGCTGGAGGACAGCGTCTGGTTACCACGGAGACAGCTGAAACCTTCCACCAAAGCATAAATTCCAAATGCCGCATGGCTCTTTAATTTCTGTCGAGCAACACTCCTCAAAAGTGTCAAGCACCCTGCCATCAATTAGGCTTTAGTAACGGATTTATGAATAGCTGGTGCAACACAAAGCGTGATGAATGCGGGCCATTGCCAGGCAGTTAATCCTGTATTTTATGTGCTTTCTGATCAGTTCAGCACTATGTGTTAATTATCATGCAGTTAAGACTTTTTGTTTTTACAGTAAATGAGCTCCACTCAGTCCTCCACCCACAGAGGGTTCAGTTTTCAGCAGTCCTTGTTAGTATGCACTCCTCCGAGCTTCATCGCCCTGATGGATTGAGCCAACAGTCCGAGTTGCGATCTGTCAAAATGCAGCCACTGTGATGGTCGCCTGTACCTATGAAAGCAATGATATAGAGGTATTGGTATAGAGTAGGGAGATACAAGGTCAGTCTTTGATGGATCTAGATCCCAAATCAGCCAAAGAGTAGTGAAATCAAACAATAAAATCTGTACTTGCTGGTTCTTACCTTTTGGTTTGTGCTCCAATGTGACTCTGAGATACTGTCTCTGTCCGGGTGGGCATATCAGCTGCTCCAAACAGTTTGGCCCAGCGCAGCCCACCCTGACATGGACTCTCAGCCTGGACACAAGTGGACGCAGTTGGGGTCTCATTGTCTTTCTCTCCCTTCCTCTCTTCTTGCCTGCTGTCCATACTTATTTGAGACCAAGTATCTCCATAATTATGGCTACAGTCCTCCCCTTCAACCACACCATCCATAAGGTCAGGCTCTGTCGGCCACCACTCTGGAATAGGAGCTAACAATGGACTCCTGTTCGTCTGCATCCCTCCGCAATCCTGCTTGACACAGTTCTGAGAAGTGGGAGACTCTTGGTGATGCAGACCTGTGTGGTGTGAAATCTTAGTTTGCTGACTGCTGTGGCTGCTGTCTGCCTTTTTGTCTGCTTGCAGTAGTGGCCAGCTGGTCACTAGGAGGGCTGAGCACGGCGGAGGTGGAGAAACACCCTCTTCCTCCAAACACAGCTGTCTGTTAAGTAACAGTCGGGGCTCCAGGAGCAAGTTGAGGTCGAAGGGCAACACGGAGAGCGGCTGCAGCAGAAGTAGCAGCTCCTGAAACAAGGGCTGACACTGACCCAGTGACATGGACAGGAAGCCCCAAGAATGGTAGTATGTTGTCACCACATCTGTGGAGACAGTAACGAGCGTGAACACATACACTGTACAGATCCAAAACATATGCAATAACTTGTTGGTTAAAGGTGCTGCAGGCCGACATCACATTCAGAGCATTATCATTAGCAGCCATTTATTATGGACAGATATAGTGGTGTAATGGTGTCCTGAGCAGAGAAGGAAGTCACACTCCTTCTGTGTGTGTTGTGATCTGAGCTTCTTTGCTACATGTGTATGTTATACCCTTTTCCACTACCACTTTTGGTTGCGCCGAGTCAAGCCATGCTGCACAGATCTGTTTTTCCATTATCAGTTCAGATAACTCCAGGCCGGAGATGGACCAAAAGTCTGCTCGTCCTAAAGCGGGTAGCGGTGACATCTTGCCCACAACAGCCAACTCCCGATGACCCCCCCTCTTGAAACAAGCCATGTGTGTTGCAAAACTTTACTCACTTCTCTCTCCAGGAGGTCAGAGAGACAGGCGTTTGTAAAAATCTCTGTGTGTTGTGTAGAAAGGAATCATGTGATCTATCAGCTGACTCCCTTCCATCAATCAGCTGCTCTATCAGTCGATTGGTTGTCGGAGATCAGCTGATGTAGCTGGGATGTGAGCTGAGCTTGAAATGGTGTCCTGTCTGAACTAACGCTATGCTCAGTTTTTGCTGAGATGATTTGCTAATTAGCACTAGCATTAGACAAACCAATATTTTGACCCTGTAAAGGAGCATGAATATTTGTCCTTAAGTTCATGACAGTCCATTCAATAGATCTTGAGGTACTTGAGTATAGAACAAAGTGAGCGACCAACTGACTGACTCAAATTGCAATTTGGCATTTTGCCATGTTGCTAGAACAATAAATTGACTGTGCGCTCACCTTTTTGACTCTGAAGGTGACTGAGCCAGAATTCCAAAGCTCTCAAGCTGAAAAAGAGCAAATACCCAACAAAAGGTAAATTACTATACAGTATGGGCAGAACTTTTATAAGCATTCTTTATCATCATAAACATGATCAAAGGTAGTCCTTTACTTCAGCAGGCCCATGATGAAGGCTCTCAGTCTCATGCAGTGGTTGGTGAGCTGCGGACACTGTCTGATTTTGGAGACGAGGCTATAAAGGACCCTGGTGGATGGACCTGTTGTAGACAGAGAACAAAAAGAGTTAATTAAAGAGCCCACAACAAAGCCCATGCATTCATGACACAATCACTCCAGTTACATTTACCAATCCTAGTAGAGACCTCCACCACACTCCAGGAGTGGTTGCGGCGCTGCCCTATAATGAAATCCAGCTTGTGATCCCGCAGACCGTCCTCTAAAATATTCTGGATCGCTGGACACAAATGTTCCAGCACCAGACCAGCGATCGTGGGGCTGCGGGAGCTGTTACCCAGACGCATCTGTGGCAGAAGGAAAAGAAATGTGATACAGTGTATTTCCTGCTGACACAAGTTATTTGACTCCAGAATGTAAATAATTTCAGTCTGGCACTTTTCCATTGTGACACATCTTTCAAGCTGCTCAGCTCAGCTGCCAAACGCATACCTTTTCTTCAGGGTCTCTGCTGCTGCCAAAATGAGCCATGATCAAATCCACCACCCTGCTCACAGACCTCAGCAAGCCTACAGAGGAAAGAGGTTGGACCAGTTGTAATTAATGCTTCATGCATTGTTTGGGCACGTATAAAACACTGATGTTTTCATATGTACAATACATGTTACATTGTAAATCCCATCTTAAGTCATTTTAGTGCTTTATTCACAAAAAAAACCACAGAATCTGCTTGTGTGTTGGTATAATTCTAACTAACCTGTTTCCTGTACAGTAGTGATGGGTGGACTTATTATTTATACATGTAAACACACTGAACCTTTCCAAACTTTGAGCTTACTTTAAGTTACAGTATATGCCATTCGACAGCTGGTGCTGTCCACCTCACAAAACTTCTGTTCAATGCATTCCCATTAATAAAGATAAAATATTAATCGTAATGCACTGATTCAGCATCCCACTTGTATGTCGGTAGGTTATGTAAACAGAAGGATGTTACTGAAATGACACTGACCAACAATGTGTCGTTCTGTGTGGGGCAAGTAGCAGAGGTCCCAGTTATTCATGTGGTGTCGGAATAAAAATTAGTTCCCTTGTTGTACACTGCTCAAAATAATTAAGGGAACACTTAAATCACACATCAGATCTTGATGAATGTATTCTTCAAGTTTAAACTCGTTACTAATGTACATTGTGAGCACAGGTCCCACTAGAGGGCGTTGGGCCCTCATGCCACCCTCATGGAGCCTGTTTCTGACAGCGTGGTCAGAAACATGCACACCAGTAGCCTGCTGGAGGTCATTTTGTACGGCTCTGGCAGTGCTTCTCCTGTTCCTCCTCTCACAAAGGAGCAGATAACAGTCCTGCTGCTGTGTTGATGCCCTTCTACGGCCCTGTCCAGCTCTCCTCATGTAACAGCCGGTCTCCTAGTGTCTCCTCCATGCCCTTGAGAGTGTGCTGGGAGACACAGCAAACCCTCTTGTGACAGCACATGTGGAGGAGCTGGACTACCTGTGCAACCTGATTGGGCTGCAGGTACCACCTCATGCTATCAGTAGTGACAAGGACACAAGCAGAAGACAAAACTAGAGAAGAATCAGTCAGGAAGGATGAGGAGAGAGCAACTGTCTGTGGCCACCACATGTAAAATGGACAGATTGATATCCCTTAAGTTTAACTGACTTGGTGTTAGACTGTGACAATAAAGTGTTCCCTTAAATTTTTTGAGCAGTGTAAATACCTTGCTGTTTGAACTCGAGTCCTACTCAATTGCTTCTTGTTAAGTCATCATAGCAGGCAGCGTAAACAGTACCCTGCGATAACAGCAAGTGGGCGAGTGGGAAATGTCTGGGATTCATGAGTGCTAGAAGGTTCATCAGGCTGACCCGATACAAACCAGACACTAAAAAGACCTGTTCCTAAAGATCAGATTGTTTATTTTTGCCTATCCTCACAGTACAAATTGTGTCTTGATTTTATTATTCTGTTGCAGTGATTTCTCTTCTTATGTCTGTCTTGTCATTTATGGAAAATTCTTTAAACATTTGCGTTGGAAACAGGCTGAACAGATGTTACTGCACTGTCAGATGTTTTACTTGTCTTAGACTCAATGATGAACAGACTCAGAGATAAGACTTTCACCTCACTAACTGGGTCAGTGCATAGAAATATGAGAGATTTCTTTCAGGGTTCATTATCATCATTGCCAGAATGCAAATGTGACAGTGAGCTGAAGATGAAAGAGTCCATTTTAGCAGCAGTTCTCATTGACTTGCCTCCCCCTGCCTTTCTTTCTTCATCTCACACCAACTAGCCTCTGCAAATGTCACGGTAAATTCTTTATGCATGTTGATGCTGCCTGCAGTGCTGCACCTCACTGACTGTACACCACAGTGTCTCCACTGATTATCCATCACAAAAGGCTTATATCTATACTATCAGATTTGCAGCCAGTGGCCCGTATGGTAAAACAAAATGATTAGGTGTGTTGTAAATCATTAGCACTGTTTCTACTGCATCATTCTCCTTCTTGGAGCTCGCAGTCACACACACACATAGGCTACAGAGCAGAAGGCTCAGCCAATCCCGTACAGGGTGAGTTAAAAATAGGTCATGTTTGAGAGGAAGCCCCTTCGGGGTATTGAAGGCACTGCTGCAGCACAGAGAGTTTGTATTGCTGCTCTCAACAGCTCAGCTCTGGATAGACAATCCAATCAAGGAGGATTCCTGTCATTATTGTGACTGGGTCATGTTTTTTTACTCCATTCAGATTTCAGTGTGTATACAGTATTTATCGTAATTTATCATTATCCTCACCTCTCCTCTGAAGATGGCTGATAGACATAGACTCATAAGACGTATCTGGTGAGAGGCAGAACTCTGTGGGTGGCTTGTCACTCAGTATCAGAGATTCACTGTGTTGACTCTGACTCGGCTTCCCACTGAGCACTGCAGACTCCTGGATTTGCAGCCCAGAAGCAGCCAATGAAAGCAGAGAACTCAAAGATGAGAGAGGAGCTACGGAGGAGAGGGCAGCTGTGAAACTACCATGAAAAAAGCCAGAGTCAGCTGCAGGTGCAGCTTGGTACTGAGGGAGCTTTTTTTCTGGTTGTACAGTAGTGGGAGGAGACAGGGACACCTGCAGGTTTGGGTGATTGGTGTCAGTGGTTAGGAGTAAAGTGGGGGGTGTATGAGAGAATACTGGAGGGTAGGGGGTGTGGGACTTCTTGGGAGTTTTGGGCTCACTGTTGGCATGACCCTGCGCAGGGGTGAAGTTAATAAGGTCCTGGTAGGTGGGAATTTTAACAAGGTTGGACTGAGCTGAAATCAGATTTGAAAAAGTGTTAGTCAGAATTTTGCCTGAGTAGGGGCTTGTTTTATCTTGCTCCTGGGCCAGTCTGGGCTTTGGGCTGATGTGCATTGGATCCAGTCTGCTTTTTGATGCACAGGGACTTGGACGTCCGTGGCCTCTGCTGGACTGGCTCCATGCACGTCTGCGGCTGAAGCACTCTGGACTCGGCGTGCAGGTGGAGCAGGTGTCCGAGCTCGAAGGAGCCTCCAGGAAGATGGGGCAGTGATTGCCCATTGGGGATGGCTGAAGATTAGAAAAGCACTGACTGCTTTTGCCCTTGAATTTGAGGCCTGGTTGGGAGCTACCAGACTTGTTGCTCTTCTGATTCATGTACTGCTCTAGAAGACAGCCCAGGTGCTGGGTCTGGGGTTTGCCTGCAGGGACCAGAACTAAGGGCTGGATGGGCAGCGAGGTTGGTCTTTGGGCCTTACTGTAGCGCACCACTGCATTTTCCAATGAGCACGCTCCTGAGATAACGGTAGAGGATAAGGAAAATGAAGGAAAAGATGTTAAATTCACTTTCATTTTTTCTGTTATTGTATCTAAAACACCGACAAATAAACAAACAACTCTTATCCATTGCTTTACCCTTCTCAGTAGCATCAGTATCACAGTGCTCCTGGTGCAGAATCACAGATGGCTGTGTGGACGCAGTGCTTGTGCCTTGGCATTTGCTGCTATGTGGGCTACACTGGCTGGGGCACAGCGAACAGGGCGTGTGGGAGAGGTTTTGGATGCTGTCTGTATGTTTCTTCCTGCAGAGGGCTTGCTCAGTGGAGGTGGAGGCAACTTGGTAATCATAGGTCTGAAACTGAGAGCATTCAAACTCGGCGCTGTACTGAGCAGAAGAGAACCTTTTTTCCTTTTGTTGGTCCTCTTTCTCCTGGTGGAGATGCAGAAAAGACAGAGCTGCTTAAACAACCAAATCACATGCATTTTTACACAAGATGCTGAAAGCACTGTCTAATAACGGTGTTTATACTGTAACTGGTGGCTGCAATCATTTACTAATTCTTTATACATCTGTTTTAAGTCATGTGGTAAATCATTAATTAATACTTTCTCAAACTATCAATTGATTTTATTATTTTTCATTCCTCCCTTACTATTTACACCCAGTTGTTTTGGGGGTTTCTTTTGTATTTATCTGGAATAGGTGCATTATTATTATTATTGTTATTAGCTTTTTAAAATTTTTTGCTCCTTACACACACAATCATGCACATAAACACACACACACACACACACACACACCACATTTAACAAATTTACCTAAATTTGACTGTAACTGCGAGATAATAATAATTGACTTATTATTATTTCATTCTTTTGTTGTTGTTGTTGTTTGTTATGCTATATATATTTTCTATGTCTGTCCTTGAGTATTTTCTCCTGTTCCTATCATTGTTGTACCTGTTTTACGCATTCTTTTTTTGTACCAATAATAAATTAAATTAAATCTCCCTTAATGATGACCCATCAAGTCAGCAGTAGTAACTGTCGTTCATCAAAATGTTCCACAGGCTATTAAATCTGCAGAGAAGCCTTATAAGTCTCTACTAAATGGATTTTGGACTGGGAGAAACACGAGTCAAAAGATTTTTTACCCAGGTGCTCTAATAAATGGCTTATTATTATCTTTACATTTTAAGTATGTGATTTATTGACTATCAGAGGTATACTATGCAGGATTTTCCAGTTACTGTTTGTAAAAACACTCATCAGCAAAAGTGAAAGTTAAGGCCAACCCAAGGTTAAATATCATTTGGTGATTTGCCTCGCCCACCTGAGTGCTGTGGGGGTACATGCCCATAAACGTCCAAAATACAGGAAACATAGGTAGAGCAGAGTCTCTGTAGACATATACACCACCACACACACCACCATAGTGGGTCATAAGTGATGATTGAGAGGGATTAATTCTGTATCAGTGCACTGTTTTTTTAGGGTAATCATGCATAGTATATCTTTAATAAAACATAAAATGTAGGAGAAAGTGGTACTCAGATGTTCAAAGCCTGTAGGAATGGTTATGTTCCCTCTTCAGGCTACAATACAGTGCCTTTGTTGTGCCATTGTTCATGAGCTAAGACAAAAAGCCTTATTTCAGATTTGTGACTATGCATTTTTCAGATTATCTTATATGGTTTTAAATAGTTTATATTGCTCGGGAAGTAGGAAAATTTTACTAACCTAAATGTTGGAGATACATAGTTTTCATTGGACAGCAATAACCCTATTTTTTTAAACCCTTACGCATTGTGATTCTGCATTTTTCCCTATCAGAGTGATGTTTAATATCCTAGCTGGCCTAAGTCATTTAATTCAGTACTAAGAGAAGAGTTGTTTTTGTGCAACATTACCATCTTGACTTCTTTGTCTTGTCCTTCTTTCTCATGATCAACACTGAGGTGCTCAGACGGAGGGAAGGGGCTACTCCTGCACTGACCCTCAGTGCAGCTGGTGAGGCTGGACCAGGCCGGGCTGGGCGACTGGGAGGACAGGTCACAAGTCACAAGCTTGTAATACTTCTGGTTGGTCCCTATGGCCAGTGTGGCCTGGCTCTGGAGACAGGCAGCCAAGTCTGACACCTCCAGCGAGGAGAGACCCGGGGGTAGCGGCTCCAGGGAGTAAAGATTGCAGTTAGAGTCGAGGCCCTGAGGAGACCAGCAGGAGGCTGAGGGTGTCGTGTCAACTTCCTCTTTAGGGGGGGAGTTCACTGTCATGTCGTCATGTTGGAGGTCCTCGGCTGGAGTCTGAGGAACAGGTTGCAGGCTGAGGAACACAGATCCCTCAGGTGACTGAGCGGGGTGAACTGCAGGACTGCTGAGGTCATGAGGCGTGGCGGGGTTGTTGCTCCTGTTATAGATAGTGCAGAAGTTAACCAAGACGCCGTCGGAGCTGTTACAGGAAGAGTCGCTCACGTACTCTGTGTGATTGTTGGAGAACAGCTCTGGGGAACATTTGTGTTGGCTGTGGATGCAGCAGGACATGTTATCCTTCAGTCTGTCTGCATCCTGCTCTCCATAAGCCATCACCAGGATGCCAGGTTTGATCACATGACAGCACTGGCATTCAGTCTGCACTGAGTCTGGGTGATGAGGCTGGTTAGAGAGCCACTCTCGGTCACTCTCAGTACTCAACATGGTGCCTTCATGGCCCCATTCACCATCCATGTACCCATGGGACATTGTATGATTCCTGGTACCATTACTCAGAGGCCAGTTGGTGTTTCCATGCAACACAAAAGATGAGTCCTCATGATATCTGTGTAGATTATCTCCATCACTATCCTCATCTTCCTCATCCTCATCAAGCTCTGTATTGGGGAGAAATGAGTTGTGTGAGCGCAGACTGTCTCTAGCTCCAGAGCTTTCCTTCTTCAGATGGGAACTCGTCTCCTCTGGTGATGAATTGGAGTCGTACCTCCCGCTGCTGTCGCTGCCCCCCTCCTCCTCAGCTCGGTCCTCGTTGAGACTACCGTAGCTGCTGGAAAAATGTCTCCGACCACCTTTGAAGGCATGCTCTTGGTTCAGAGAGTCTTGCTCTGGGAGTGACACAGCTCGGGTCAAGCCCACTGAGCACAGCCGGCCAGGCCTCTTGGCCGAACTGCACAGGGCCTGGACAGGAAGTTGCCAGGTGGGAAGCTGGACCACAGGGAAGTGGCACGCTATCAGGGTGTCCCCTGAGAGGCTGGACGCTCCAATCATACTGCTGAATCAGGCTGGCGCATGGAAACTGTCCCCATGTTCCTTAAACTAAATCCTGAAATAATAAAATAAAATAAAATCACTTATAAGTACAATGAATCTGCTTTCAGTGTGTTATCCATGGTGTACAAACACATTCATGATGATGCACTGGAATGCATAGAAGAGCAGAATGGCAGATTAAATGAGTGGATATAAAAATATGTGAAACAATCAATTGCCCGATGTTCCTGCACACAGTGTGGTTGTCAAGGGTGATGAAAAATGCACTGAACATGAGTATAATGGTAATTAGAAAATGCATTAAATCAGTCACAAGTATTATGGCTTCTACAACACATTTCCTGAGGCTCATTAGACAAAGCAGTAAAAACTATTCATATCATTATGTTGGATGGAAAATAATTAGATTCTATAAGGGATACTGTAAGGGAAGACTTTAGATGGAAAGACTTTAAGGAACATTTCACCCTTCAAATGATCATTTATATGTCTGTGACTCACCCTGTGTTACGTTGAATTTGGGACACAATTAACCATTTGATTTTCTTGTGTACCTTCATGTTGAACAAAAAAAATTCAAAAAACTCTCGATGAACTGAATTTAAAGGGGGCTGCATCTGCATTAAACTGTAGTAAAATTACATCAAAACATCCGTTTACAACACACAACTCATGCTGTATAATCCAAGTCTCATTTATCCAGTCATAGTTTTTTTAATGGCGGCCCCCCATGACTTAAATTCATCATCATCTCTCTCACTCTCAGATTCTGGAACGTTAGCTCTTCTTCATTTGCCAACATTCATGTCATGTCACTATCTTGGCTTCCTCTTCGGAGCCTTTGTGCTCCACTGTCTCGGAGGTTTCCTCTGATCACGGCTACGCCTGGATTGTGGGTCATAGTTGTGCGACTGCCATGGTCCTGCCTGATGCCTCCTACTGCTGCTATTATTATCAGTCATACTTTACTATTATTAGTGTGATTATTATTATCACATACATGTACTATTATATATTAATATATACTTACAACATATATGCTTCCAAAATACTATTATTATGATATTATGAGTAAAATTACTGTTATTGTAGCTATTGTCAGCAGCACTGTGGTGCAGTGGTTAGCACTGTTGCTAAACGGGAGGGTTCCTAGTTCAAACCCAGGGTGGGGTGCCAGGATGGAGTTGAATTGGTGATTCTAAATTGGCCGTAGGTGTGAATATGAGCATGAATGGTTTTCTGTCTCTATGTGTCAGCCCTGTGATAATCTGGTGACCTGTCCAGGGTGTACCCTGCCTCTCACCCAATGTCAGCTGGGTTAGGCTCCAGCACAACCACGACCCCCAACAGGATAAGCGGTTATGGTGGAAAATTAATGATTGAAAGTAACTATTGCCATTACTGTTTGCTCTGCATTTCTGTCTGTCTCTGTCTCTCTCTATGTATTTGATGTATATCATTTTGTCATATGGATTTATTATGTTGATCTGTTCTGTACAACATCTATTGCACGTCTGTCCGTCCTGGAAGAGGGATTCCTCCTCAGTTGCTCTTCCTGAGGTTTCTACCATTTTATTTACCCCATTAAAGGTTTTTTGGGGGAGTTTTTCCTTATCCCCTGTGAGGGTCCAATGGACAGAGGGATGTTGTATGCTGTAAAGCCCTCTGAGGCAAACTGTGAGGTGTGATATTGGGCTTTATATATAAAATTGAATTGAACTGAATCAATAATGTTCGCCTTTTTGGATTCTTCGTTCACCTTGGAGGCATGTGAGAAAAACAAAGTTTTCTTCATGAATTTAACATAACATGAGTTATTATCATACAAATCATCATCTGGGGGGTGAAGTGTCCCTTTAAGTGCAGGCCTGGCCCTATGAGCAAAGGTATCATCATGGACCATCATGGCATTTAAGCGATAATGTTCTCAGTGTTGCACAGTTGGACCATGGGGACATGTTTTAATGCTTCATGTAAATGTAATCAGTATAGCTTTTATGCTTGTTGTTGGTGTTTGCATATGAAGTGTTTAGATGTTTATCTCCCTCTGGATCCGCCTCTTTATTTTTGGACTCAATGACCCTCCCAGCTGTAATGCTGTGACAGGCTTAAAGCACCAGGGACCTCATTACAGATTTTAGTGGCTAGTAAAAAAGAAGTGCATCTTTAATTCTGGGGTAAAAGCATCCCTACAGACTAGAAAAAGATAAAAACATGAAACACAACTGCAGGCTACTGCTGTCAGTCTGCTTCCTCACTCCACACCACTGGTCCTCCAGTCAAAGTCCTACCGTGCTGTCTGCTTCTGGCCCTCAGCAGAGCCTACCCTCCATAATTCAGTCAACCGTTAATAAACTCCTCCTCTCGCTGCCTGGGCCAACCACAGTCTCTCACAGTTACTCAGCTGCTCTGTAACTAGGGCAGCTGCACTGCAGAGATGCTCCGCTGGCACTGCTAAGAGTAAATACATTTTCACATCAGTTTAGTTAATTCAATGTGCTCTACATCCTCATTTAGCGTCTGATTTTACAGACATCTATACACAGGAGGCAGCATGACAGTGATCATTATCCCTCGCTGAAACACAACCACGAGGACTACAGCCAAGTCAAAATAAAAGTAATTACAAAGCACATAAAATATTTAAACCCCGGAGTGTGGATGACATTCAACCACAAAATCATTTATTGAAGTTATTAGTAATAATTAATGTTGCTAGGATACAACCACACACACATTTCATGAGATCTGCAGTCTTGTAGTCTTGGTGCTCTGTGGTGAATTTAAACTAGACTGAAAACCATGTTCAGACAATTCAATATTTAAGACGCAACATCCTCAGTCTTCAGACACAGTTCGGGGGCATTATGTCACACATCAGGCAGCCATCCGTTCAGAGGCATCACATTGTTGTGCTACTGTCTGGATGCAACGTGTGTAAACAAACAACATCTGTTGCAGATGACCATGAGGAGGTAATCCTCTTTATCATCAAATCGCAATGATAAACAACATCCTTACCATGGCAACGATTAGGAAATATGCTCAGAGATAGAAACATCAATGTGATGGAAATAAAAAGTGGATGTGGCCTTGCTGTGAACCTTTCTTTAGCGCCCCTATTTTTGTCTACAAAAGCATTTTAGAGGACTTATAATTCTGTCCTTCAACACCAGAGACAGGTTTTTATTATGGTAAACTCAAATACTGCATATATTCCACACAGTCAGACTATTTCTACTCTAGTATTTCCGGGTATAACCTAAATAAATTGCACTATAACAGCAAAAAAACCTAAAACAGCAGATTATTGTTTGGCACCTGGTTAAATAACTGCACAGTAAAAGCTCAGGAGGTAGCGCAGGTTGGCCCGAAATCATGGTTAGTGTCTTGTCCTTGAGCAAGAAGCTGAATTTTCAATGGCTCCTAGTGTATCTGTAGGTGTTTGCATGAAACCGATTTTTACTTTGCTCCAAAAAGACATGATAAACAACATCACACATTTCTGTGGAGGAAGTGCTGTTGACAGAATCCTTTTAAATCACTACGTTGACGTTTGATTGTCAAGATTATTGTCTGTGATAATGTGATAGGAGGGAATATAACACTGGAGCTTATTTTCAACAGTTCAATAGTTCAATACAGCAGGAAAGTAGGCCAAAGTGACTGACTAGTCGTCTGCAGGGGACTAACAATTTCATTGCAAAGCGGATATGTCTCTCGTGAATTATGGCCACTGCTGGAGGAGGTCCCCTAACATGAAGCTCCGTCTTCTGGGCACTGAGATGGCTGTGATTAACTGATTTCACTGGAAATGTCTGTCAGGTCAAGTCAGTGTCTGCGTGGTTCTGTGAAAGCAAAGAGTCTGAGGCCCACTCTTGTTGTTTTTTGGTTGGACGCAGAATCAGATCATGATGCTGCTTGTTATCAGTGATGTCTCTGATAATGAGACTTCGTTACAGCTCAGCAAAGTTTCAGTATAAGAACTCAATAACAATATAACATCTGCGACCTGCATTTAAAGAGTAAAAGATGGATGTAGAGAGAGTAAGGTCAAAGATGGGGGCTGACTGCACTGCACTATGTAGCCAGGTACCTAGTCCGGGGACAATTAAAGGAAAAACACGTATGAAACAGTGTAGAAACATTAATTGCTTTCATGAATCAGGGTCACTGAGTGTTTTGGTGAGTATGATAACGACATAAATCAAGGGCGTAGGTTTCGTTTCAGCATTGAGGGTGTGGGACACATATGAAACAGAGGGGTCCTTTGTCAAAAAATGAGAGCGTCAAACACTTGTCTTTTTGCATTTTTCTATCAATTTCTGCATTTTCTGCATCAATTTATGGTGTAAATGTCCTTAATTTTTTCAAAATAAAAGTCCTCTGCAACCTTCATGTTTCTACTCAGGTGGGCAAATGCACTTTTTTTTTTAAATATTGAGTGAGACATGTCCCCTGTATCTTCCCTGAAATCTACACCTATGATGTAAAACAGTCACCAGATCTTAACACCTATGGAATATTTTGGCATGTGTAAGACAATGCTCTCCAGTTATATAATATAAACTTTCATCTTTAAATCTATTTAGTGATGTCTGTGATTGTCTCCAATGCTATATGCCCTGCTTGTTTTTCTTTCTATCTGCTGTATTCTCACTTGATCTCAGTAAGACTGCCTGATTACAGTAAATAAATGTTGTTTATATAAATGAAGGGATGTGGTTCATCCCTCTAATACACTTCCACAGACTTGGCAAGGGAGCACTCAAGCTGTTCTGGAGGCTTGTGGTGGACCACAAAGACACTTGATGTTGGTTTTGCCTTCAATCTCCTCACCCATCTGCATGTGTGTGTTGGTGTTCATAATGAAAATGAAATATTTAAAGTGGCTGAATTAGGACATGCAGACAATCAGACATGCACACGTGCCAAAAGAGCCACCCATGACAGAAGTAGCATCTCCCTCTCTCAGGAACACACACACTATCACACACACATGCAGACTTAAAGCACAAATAGGACAGAAGATCAGAATCAATACAGATGAATTATTGACTTCAAAGTAGACAGAGCTCATGAAAAGACACGCGCTCGTGCACCACCAGCCAGCCTCCTCATCTCCTTTTAATATTATCACCTACTTGATAGGAGTGCTCAGCCAAAGGTGATGTCCATCCTCCTCTTCCAGGTGATTTCAATAGGTTAGATCCAATATCAGACAATTCTTAATAAATATAACGCGAGTCCTCGACGCACCTCTGACGTCAAATGTGCTCTGGAAAGCCAATATTTAATATGAAATATAATATTAATATAAAACTAAAGCCTTACATCGGGGTTTTATAACTCTATTGCAGCGTAATGTGAAGCCGGTCCGACATTGAGGTCCGGACAGATACAGCTGTCCCCACGCCGCCGCTTCAGCACCGCTCAGCCTGACGAAGATGTGACGTCACGCGGACTTTAACCAATGAAGAGGGAGAAGCGGCTGCCACTCAAAGCATCCAAGACTCCGAGTAGGAAAAGAGTTCATTATAAAGGCCTGTGGTTTTTTTTCTTCTTCTTTTCAAAGTATGATAAAAATAGACATCAGGAGCAGGCTGGTAACCAGTGTTGGCACAGTGACTGGAATTATGATTTTCTATTTTATAATGATGAGACACAAATATGAGATATTAAATCATAATTTTGACGTATAGAAAAAACATGATTATAATTCATTCGGCTATCAAATCAAGGGGAGACACCACAGGTTAACATTATTCTTTAAATGTACTGGTTAATTTGGAGATTTTGGGCCATTTTGCTTCCATAAGATGTTCTTTAGAGTACTGTAAGGAAAAAGTCCACACAATACACATTCAGGTGTTTGGTTTAAAATATGAATTTTACAATACATATCTAGGCTTTTGCTCAAAACGAGTTCTTTTTTTCCTCACAATTTGGGCCAGTAGCACAAACATACACCATATCCTGAAGGTTTTTACTGAGGAGTTTGATTGTGTCATTTATATTTATATATATATTAAAAATTAAATATTATATATGTATTTTATTTTATTCGTTATGGACGTTGGCTTTTTATTTTTATTTTATTTTATTTCATTTTATTTTTATTTTGTTTGTTATGGATCTTGACTTTTTTTTTTATCTTTGTTTTATTTCATTTCATTTTACTTTATTTTATTTATTTATCTATTTGTTTATTTATTATGGAGTAAAGAAAATAATTTAAATTGATAATGCCACATTTGCATATGTAAATATACAATTTCAGAATACTTGTAGGCTAAAACAAAATAATTGTCTTAGATGCTGAAGTTTCATGGTGATTTCTAGTGGTTAAAAGTTTTACCCTATTCACTTGTAGTGTCATTCTATAACATCATGGCCATATTATTTATGAAAGATCCCATTTCTAACTTCTCATCCTTATTATTATTTAAAATAAGTCTTATTTTAGATCATTATCAACATCAGAAAATAGAATTGTAAGAATAAATCATCGTCAAATCAATAAGAAATAATTTTAGCGTGCTTGTAGAACTATTCAGTGCAAGTGTTTAATCGTGAGACAATGGTGCATTAAGTATATAAAGATTAGTTTGTAAAAAAAACACAGTTAGTTGGTCATATCACAAATGTGCTGTTGCCATATTCATCTCACTAAACCTGGCTCAGCTCGTCCTCCAGTGGTTAAAATGATGCATGCATCCTCAAGGGCGGTTGTGCAATATGTGTCATGTGGTAACCTCTATAATATATACTGTCAGTAACCATAATCCGCATGGTGGTAATGCTGGTTTGTGGGTATCAGAAAAAGAAACTCCCAGTGACACAACACACCAGGTTTGTCTCTTCTTTCATAACATTTGGGTGGTTGCAATAAGGTCTGACAGTTAACCAACCTCAACATGTAATGCAGAGCATCAAACTCATGCGTGCATGTATTCCAGCATGGTAAGAGAGAGGAGGCTTCACTAAGTCTGCCATGTTTAGGTGCTGGCCTGAGCCACAAGCATCAGCACAGCAGTGGGCAGGTATCATATAGGTTTATGCATATTTTTTTTATATTTGATGGTACTTCATCACAAGAGCTTTTGATGGAAAACAGCAATAAAAATGCAATAATTCAAAACATGTAAAAGCAGCAAGGAAAAGCTTGTCCCTTGGTCAGTGAGGAGTTGGGAATCACTGCATCGCCACCTTGTGGTATGTGGTCCTTGGTGATTGAATACAGAAATATTTTATTTGAATTTAAAAAAAAAAAAAAAATCCCATTCATTTTTTTTTTTAAAACAGCCAATATCTTCTTCCATTGCATTAAACGAGAAGGAACTGTGAAGAAAATTTTAATTTGTTCTGAACTTGCTGACAAACAAAATGTGGGCAATACAACCTCTTATAAAAAGTATATTTAAACAACTACATTCTTTACAGTATGTACAAATAAATATATAATAACAGCATGAACCAATAAACTCAGAGCATCTCATAAACTTTGCATGAATATTTATATTTTCTTATTAAAACATGTTACATAGCCTGTCTGATGTGCTGTGTTATAGACAAACTAGATCATAAAAATCAATGTCGCTTTAGATGGAGCCGTTTGATTGTTCATGCAGCATTTACAGCTCTGTTTTGCTGCAGTGCAGTGCCAGATCAGATTACTTTAACTGACTGCCTGATAAAGTGCCAGCAGGTCAAGCCAGGATACCACAGCAGTAATTTCATAATTTTGAGTCGGGTCGCTTTGGTCCATGAGGTGGATGTTTGCTCTGTCACCCTGATGGATTGTTTTGTTTGTGTGTCCTCTTCAGGTGGAGTTCCTGAAGGAGCAGATATTTTTCCTGCAAAGATAAAGAACAGCTTCATTATTTATCTTAGTATACTTTCTGACTGTCTGTGAACACTGTGAAAGGGAACATTAAGTCTGTTTGATATCACAGAATGTCATTTGAAGGAACTTTTCTGGTTTCACATTAATGACAATTCACTTAAAGGAACAGTGTGTCAGATTTTAGGGGGATTTAGTGGCATCTAGTGGCAAGGACTGCAGATTGCAGCCAGCTGAAACTTCTCTCAGTTGGAATTCCTTCAATATTAATTGTTCAGGAGGTTTTATCTGAAGCTGAAATATCCATGGAGCTCTCTTCCTCTCTGAAACAAATGGACCAGGTGATTAAAATCACTAATAAGACTGAATAATGCAGTGTCATGTTACAAATCAGTGTTTCTCCTATGCTGTTTGGCATGTCATGGACAGGCTGTTAGCCCAGCACCTGCTAATGTGTGCACACCTTTTTAACTTAAGACTGAGACTTTGAGGAGGCTTTTACGAGACGCCTTATTATCCGCAGAGGTCTCTTCCTCTCCAAAACAAATATACCCACTGATTTAAACCAGTAAAAACACTCAATAAAGCAGTTTTAATGTTAAAAAAATTGTGTTTCTCCAACGCTGTCATCACAGAGGGCTGCTAACTACAGTGGCTGATGCGAAAATGTAATTGGCCCTATGTACAGCCAGTGTTTGGCTTTTTCATTCATTCAACCTTTATTTAAACTCGGAAATACATTGAGGTAGGGACCTCATTTACAATGTAGTCGAGTAAAACAATAAACAAATAAAAGCACTTAGACACAGAAACAACCAAAGAGAAACTTACATAAGAGTGGCAACAAGAATAAAAAACACAATAAAACTGAAAAAAAAAAAAAAAAAACAGCACCAATAATGAATAAAATACTTAAAATGTAACCCACCATAATCAGGTTAGACAGGAACATCTAGAAGTAAAATGTGATACAGTTAAAGATTTAAATTGCCCAATGGATAAAAATGATTAAAGTTTTAAATGGTTCTGCAAGTTGTTCCACGTTGCAGGTGCACAATACGAAAAACTGGATTTTGCAAGTTCACTAAAAACAGTTGGTACCTGCAGTGTAATCCAATCACTGGATCGAGTCTGATAAGAACCCACATTAAAAGAAAGCATGGCACTGATATAATTAGGTAAAAGACCAATAAGAGCTTTATAAATAAATAAAACCCAATGGCTTGTTCCTTCCTATACGACTATTTTTATTTTTAGGTGATCATACACTAAAAAAATACTCTTATTATATTATATTCCATCTCTGCCAATATATCATCCTAAATCCTACACACTGGACCTTTAAGAAATGCAAGTATTAATGGTAGAAGCCTACAGCAGCAGTGGGAATGTTTGAGTTTCCTAAATGTCCCAAATGTCTGATTACAGGCCTCAACAGTTCTAAGAAGCTCTACTGTACCTGCAGTATTGTGTGCCACACTCTAAGTTATCCCTGCAGCTGGCGCCCACAGGCTTCATGCTGTTCCAACGCCACAGGAGTGACCGCTTGGTCCGCAGGATCAAACCATTCCAGTCTTCAGGTACAGGCAGTGAATTGACCTGTGAAGGCAAACATGCAGTAAAATCCTTTAGGAGCTGTGATGAAATCAAAAGACTTGATGTTCTCTTTTAGCTAAAAATAGATGAAGCAAACTCTCAGGACATGAATAGTTAAAGGTTATGAACTTACCTGAACAGCACAGATCAAACAAAGAAGGACGGAGAGAACAATGATTCTTTCCTGAAGAGTCCCCATGCTGTTTGCAGATCAAACTCAAGACAGAAGCAGCTCTGCAGTCCATGCCACCTGTATTAAAGGCTGTAGTTGGGTTGGGGAGGAGTTACCCTTTGAAAGATATGAAGGATTGATTCCCTAATACTCCACTTTAATGACTGAGGCTGAGGTTTGGCAGAGAAGCCGATCTCAAGTCAGAGCCAACAATGCAAACATATTTATCAGTTTTGTAACGGCAGCTGTAGTCCAAGTTTATCTGCAGGCAGCCAAAGTACACTTTAACCCTGTAATTAAGGACAACTCCACGTCTGTGATATCTAACTGAAACCTTAACATGTGTCACAGACTGAAAAGTGTATCCCTCCACCTCTTTACTTCACCCCTGGAATCTCCAATTCATCCAAGCTTCATGGTTTGGACTGCGGGAGGCAACTGCATGATGTGAAGTTTGAAGCTTGTTTCAAGCAGCAATGTCACTGAAAATACTATATATTGTAGTTAGGCGCTGACATAACTTGAGGCAGTGTCAGTTGGGGCTGAAGACTGGCTAAAAATTTTGAGGAAACAAATCTGGGAGTCTGAGTTGGATCTGTAGTTGGAAATAAGTGAGTTTACCAGGGCTCTATGACCCGCTCCTCTGCTTAAGGCTATCAACCTGGGGTTGCCGTATCTCAGTCCAAAGGGACTTGGACTGGGAACTGGAGGGTCGCCATTTCAAGTCAAATATGGAGTGTGGACTGGTAGCTGGAGAGGTGCCAGTTTGCCCTGTGAGCACTGCCAAGTTGCCCTTAAACAAGGCTCGGGCCCCTAACTGCTCGGGCTGCTTGTCTATGGACAGCCCCCTCGTTCTGACATCTCTCCATTTAACGCATGTATAGGTCCTGTTTGTGCATGTGTATGTATTTTGTGCCTGTGTGTATATGACAACAGAGTGAGAAGAATTGAATTTCACCTCAGGGATAAATAAAGTATATCGTCTTCTTCAGCTTGAGGCTACATTAGCCACTACTAGCATAACACACCTACCATACATCACATACCAAATAGTTGGCAGTCAAAATGCATTGTGGGAGGAAAATGAAACTAGAATTACCACCCGGCAGCTGTATGCCTCTGCCAACCAGTCAAACTGCAGTCTACATCCATGTCTGTCCAGACTCATATAACAGGCTACATGTAGTGAAGACTTTGAAGGAATTTAATAAAAGGTATTGAATGTATATTAAGTGCAGACACCGAAAATTAGTGTCACCACTTCAACATCTGACCAAATGTTTCCCCTTTTGTTCCCCAATTATGATGTTGGGAAATTGTCAGAGGTGTTTCTGCAGATCATCATGATGTCACAGTGAAGTTGACCTTTGACCTTTTGGATATAAAATGTCGTTATTTTATCCCTAATAGACATTTATGTGACCTTTTATCATAATTAGGGTATGAGTCCAAGTGGACGTTTGTGCCAAATTAGAAAAATTCCTTCAAGGTGTTCCTGAGATACCGCATTTACAAAATGGGGGATGGAAAACCCAAAGACATAATGCCTCTTGTGTGTTTGTGTGTGTGTGTGTGTGTGTCAAGTGCAGCTATAATTAGCAAAGTTTCAACACCGGCTTTCAACATCTGCAAATTATAAATTAGTCAGACCAACCCCTGAAGTTCGTCACAAGGCCATTCATTCAACACGTCTTCAGAGAATGAGAAGCACACCAGGTTTATTGAAGCCGTAGCAAATGACAAGACAATGTGTAAACGGTTACACGTGACCTATTGAGAGTACGTAAACAGAAATTACATATGAATTTTACTATGCAGGTGTAGTAGTGTAAACAATACTGTCTGTTACATATGAAACAATGACCAAGACAGTGTCAGTAATGTGTGTGAAGCAGTGGTTATTAAAAAGACAAAACAAATACACATTGCAGTGCAGATTCTGTGTAGTGCTGCAAAGAAAATCACTTATATTCAATTTTTAACCGCACAGTTTAAAGGTATACCACGCAGTCCCCCCCCTCACCTGCACTCTTTGCCCAGAAATGTCCCGCACACAGCAAAAAAAGCAGATAAACACATTGCCACACACTTCTCGTGGGGTTACAAGTGATGATTGAAAGGGATTACTTTTACATGAGTCTATACATTGCTTTTTTTCTGGGAAAACCCTGCATATTATACCTTTAAATAAAGATACAATAAACTCATTAAAAGCTGTTTAAAAGTGGGATTTGTAACCATAAAAATCATGAACAATTCCTAGTGGTTAAAAGGAATAAAAACAATTTTCTATTTGACAAAACATCTATCAGTAGTGTCACCAGCATGAAGCCATCCACACACTGATTTCTGCTGAATATCAGTGCAATAATTCAAAATCACACATTCATGGTGACAAATTGGGATCAGGGGGAAAGAAAATATTGCACATTGCTTCACACCATCATGGGACAAGACATCGTACCACGCACCAGGCAAAACCCTTCCCTTTATTCTGTGACTGTTGAAGTAATACTATTTGGATTTAAATCCACATTATACTGTTTGCATATAATGTGGATTACTGGATTTCCACTGGAGGTTACAACAGAGTACATGGTTTTAAAAGGAAGATGAGCTCACTATAGATTTATGACATAAAGAATAAACATGCCAGCAGTCGTTTCACACAGCTTGACTTGGTTATTTACTTGGCTTATGCTTGGAAACAATACAAAAATGTGAAATATTGACTTTTTTCTTGCATTAAAACAGCTTTATAAACGTTCTTCTTACTAAAGCCTCAACAATCTCACCAGACCATGCTGAAAACTGATGACTGGGCCATTTAAAAAAAAACACACATTGACAGTGTTATGGACACACACATACACACACACACACACACACACACACACACACACACACACATTCATACACTCAAACACTCAGAAAAGCAGCTTTTTCACACAAAAACATGGGCTATGCTCAAATAATGGCACGATACATTTTCACTTCAATTCCTGGAGGTCTGATTACTTCAGAGCTGACCTTCTCAAATCATATTTGGTGGGAGATTCAATTTACTTAATTCACGTAGTTTCAATTCAAAATCCCATATTAATAAAGTAAAAAAGAAAAATATTCAAGATTTCAGATTTATAATTTAAAAAAATATGTCTTTCAGCATCATTAAAACTGACGTGTGTGGAAGACGACAGCCCCAGCCCTGTAACAAACTCTTCACCTTTGATCCTAAAGCCATTAGATTTAAAATAAAAGCTGATTAAAAGGTGGGATGGTTATTAATGGAAACTATTAACTTGGGGGTTAATGGTAAAAACTGCAGATCCATTGAACCCATGAAATGTGAAATTATACTGCAGATGGGCAGTCCTCCTTCTTTCGACATACTATTCGGTGCTATGATGAGAGCAGGGGCTGTCGTTCAGCTGCAGTGCTCTGAAAAAGAAAACCAGACACAAAAACATTATGTTGGTTACTGTTGAAAAACATGCCTATTAATTGACGTAGTATGTACAAAAATATCTAACAAATTGAATGTACAATATTACATATTTAACATTGGCTTTATTAATTTGCCACTGTAAAATTATCTCTGAATATTCCAATGTTTTGACAGAATATTAATAATCAATTGATAACGATTCTGAAAATCAGTTAATCATTACAGTAGTAATGTAAATGTTTGATGTGATTTTACTTTGAATATTTTTGGGTTTTGGACTGTTATGTCAGACAAAACAATTAATTTTAATATTCCACAGGCTAAACCACAAACTGATTAAATAAAAACAGAACCAACTGTTTCAATTGATAATGAAAATAATCTTCAGTTGCAACCATAGAAACAGAAAAAGGGTAGAACAGACATACAGGTGGAGGCATGGTAAGGTCCTTACAGAAATCCCCAAATGGGTGGATCAGCAGAGGGTCAAAGCAAACAACAACCCAGCATCACCATCCAAAGCTGTCACTTTCCTAAGTGAAGGCAATAAGAATCCTACGGCAAGAGCAATGGCCAAGAACCAGCCTCCCATTTTGCAGCGTGCTGCCGACTGGGCAATACAAGTGGATCTAAAGTGAAAACTTGTCTTCCCTCAGGACATGGCAGTGACCTCCCTCCAGCCAGACATGCCTCTATTATCCAGGAGCACAAAAACCACGTAGTAGTCAAACTTACTGTGCCCTGGGAAGACAGGCTAGCCACCTCTTCACTCAAGAAAGCCAAGTACAAAGGATTTGATTGATAAAGCTCTCATCGAAGTCAGCCACTGTGAGTTCCCAGCAACATCAGTGCACTATTTCCTCCAGTTGGTCAGCCTGGAGCCCAAACATCTGAAGAGAGCCACCAGGGACACAGCCTTGGCAGCCAAGACCAGCTCAAGATGGCTGTAGCTGATGAGAGCCCACAGTTAGAACCTTTCTGCAGGTAAGGCTAATTGGTCTTTGCTGCCCCACTCAGGTGAGGCATACAGGCTACGCCTGGCCCTGTTGCAGATTGTGCGCCCACCACAACAGAGCGCGAAGGCATTTATACTTGGCGCATTCTCCATTGCAGTATTCGCTGCAAAGACAGGGGACGGTAGAGAGAAAATACTATAGGAAGAAGTAGAAGCAGGCAAAAAACAGTAGAAATAGAAGCAAGTGGAAAACAATGCAAACAGCAATGATGGCGGCACGAAAAGTATGGATTGCAGAGGAGGAGAAATTGTTATGTTTATGGCTTTTGACCAGATAAAAGCATTGCAGAAGAAAATGGTCTGTCCACCCGTAGATGAAGAGATGCACTTCAGCTAGTCTTCTAGCTAATCCTGGTGGTGTGCGACCTTGCGAAGCGCCAGTGATTACATCATTATGGCGCGCGAACCTCGCACACTCACGACTGCATCGAGCATAAACTAGGCTTAAGGGGTGAAACGCCTGTGACCCTGAGATACCTGCTGATGATGCAGAAAGGTTTCCAGTAATGTGGATGCTCCAAACACCAAAGAATACCACTGCAGAAGAAACTTGCATCACCATATCTTGTGTAGCTCCTGCAGGTCCTGCTTGTAGCAAAGCATCTTAGATGTTTAATTTACCCCCACTCAGATTAACATAGCAGGATGGTCAGAGTGGCAGCCATTTTTATGTAAACCATTGCCACTGCAAAGAACTGTCAAGGTTTTAGCAGGGTAACTTCCATTAAACTTCCA